GTGTGGGTGTGGGTGTGGGTGTGGGTGTGGGTGTGTGTAAATTGTGACTCATTTAACATGGCAAAAATTAGGTACTCTAATACAGCTTCAGTAATTATGAAAAAGCGGGGAAAAGATAAATTAATTACTTATTTATACTATTATACTAATTTTACTTTTTAATTTTTTTATTAAATGTAATTTTATAAATTGTTTCTCAAATACATAATGAGGTATATGTAAGTCAACATCGACGCGAGTTATTTATAGATGCAAGGTGAGTTTTATTGTATCTATATATAAAACATCGAATCGAAATCGACACATACAAGATGAGTTTAATATATATATATTAGAGACTCGGACCGGACCGAAATCGAAACCGATAATCGAAAATGTTTTCCGGTCTGATTTTCGGTTCGGGTTTTTTAATCTCTTTGGTACAATCGTCGACTACAGTCGACACTGTCGACAGTTGACAGTCACCGAACATAGATTACGTTTGCACGGCAGCGATTAATCGGGTTTAGTAACATCCGTAGTATAACTCTCGAAATGTGTTCTCAGTTACACGATTTTAATTTATCCTACCAATGTTATAACTTCTGAGTAAAGTCTCCCATGATACTAACTTAAGAAAATAAAAGATTAGTATAAAAGGAAATTTTATTTAGTATTATATAAACATATTACTAAATAACAATATATACAATTTTATAGAGAGAAGGATAATAGAATTTTCATAGTAAATTTCGTATAATAAATCAAACTAACCAAGACTCCTTATAAATCAAAAGAACTAAGAAAGCACATGGGCAACGCGGAAAACGTTGCACAAATAATACGACTATATATAAAGCGTAAAACTTCTTTATTTTACTAAACGCGCTTACATGTTTCGGCTCATTTTTGAGCCTTCTTCAGAGACAACATAAACTCACATATATAAAATGTAACAAATATTAACTTGTCATGGTGAGCTCCCCCGTATCGAGAATATAAATGCCAGAATTAAACCCAGATAAGAATGAAATAAAGAAAAACGAAAAGAAATTTTGGAAATCTCGAAATAGAGAAAATGAAAAATATTAATGTATCAGAAAATTTTGAAATTATAATTAATTATCCCGAAAGTTAGGAAGCTCACCATGGTCACAAGGTACCATATCGCAAACAATACTATTAGTAATTCAAAAACCGGTTTCTGGCCAATTAGTATCAGGCACAGTGAGTCACTTTTAGATTTAGTTGGTCTTTATTGAGATAGCAATTAGAAAACTAACGTTAAAAAGTTAATCAAATTCAAGAAAAAGAATTTTGAAAATAATTTAAAATCAACGCTAGAAAGA